TTTACTGATTGGCTAAGAATGACATCACTACTAGTATTTCATCATAAAGGTCTAATCATGACATTGCTTTCTTATCAGACTAGACGCTTATCAATCACGGTGAAAGTTATCATTCAGCGTTTGCCCGGGCATGGGCTCTTACCCGGATAAGTACGGTATATAATGTTTATTGGGAAACTTCATAGTGTAGTGGTTAAGACATTTGCTTTGCAAGTTATAACTTATAACCCTATGCTATGATCTTCCCACCCTTAAATATACAGGGCTAGTCATGTGTAACTATAATTTGCTATACTAATGAATGGAAGAAAGAATGATTTCTACTATGTTTCAATTGTCTAGGTAATAGACCCAAAGCAAAGCACAGTCACCATGCTTGGGACCAAAGTGGAAGTCAAACTCAGGAAATCAGAAGTTGTCTCATGGAAACAAATAAATCACAAACCTGAGAACAATAAAAATTAACTTAACTACAGGATATCAATATCAGTATATCGAAAATATCAATGGCTGTGATTTGAAATAGTGTAAATACATCACTGTTTTTATATAAACTAAGATGGGAAGGGGTTTACTATCCATCTTAGCATGAATTCCATAATCATGTGACTATGATATTCTGTTATTGGTCATGACTCCCCAAGATTGCAGTGTGCTGCACATTTTATTGAACAAAATAGAAATAACTTTCTTATCCAAGTTTACATGTTTCAATTTCTTCAGAAGGTTTATACATAATTAAGCTTTCATACTGGAGAACTTTATATAGTTTGATGCACTGCACTGCACTGCACTGTTTGTTTTCTACCCCTGACTATAGTGGAAAGTCCTAAACATTTATTACTTATTTTATGCCATACTAGTCAGGCTCCATAGTTTGAATTCATTTCACGTAGGTAGGAAGGTGGGTTCTGCTTGATTTTAAATATTGTACAACTTGAACAGTGAAAATCTTTATTTCTGTTGAGGTACAAAATGTAATATAGCAGTACTTAGTATGTAAAGACCATTGATTATTACTAAAAAAACGCAGCAATAATATAACACTGCTTACATGAAAAAATAGTCTCAGTTTTTAAACTCCAATTTAAGGTTGCATCATTTTAGTAGAGATACTCTTGATGTTCTATTTCTAATCATCTTGGTAAATGTTTGTATGTCAATTTACTTGTTACTTTGAATTAGACAGCGAGGTAGTGTTTCACAGACCAGATGTGATTTAAATCAGGCAGTGAGGAAGTGATCCACAGATCAGATGTGATTTGAATTAGGCAGCCAGGAAGTGCTTCACAGACCAGACCAGACCAGATGTGATTTTAATTAGGCAGCCAGGAAGTGCTTCACAGACCAGACCAGACCAGATCTTATTTGAATTAGGCAGCCAGGAAGTGATCCACAGACCAAATGTGATTTGAATTAGACAGCCAGGAAGTGCTTCACAGACCAGACCAGATGTGATTTGAATTAGGCAGCCAGGAAGTGCTTTACAAACCAGACCAGATGTGATTTGAATTAGGCAGCCTGGAAGTGCTTCACAGACCAGATGTGATTTGAATTAGGCAGCCAGGAAGTGCTTCACAGACCAGACCAGATGTGATTTGAATTAGGCAGCCAGGAAGTGCTTCACATACCAGACCAGATGTGATTTAAATCAGGCAGTGAGGAAGTGCTCCACAGACCAGATGTGATTTGAATTAGGCAGCCAGGAAGTGCTTCACAGACCAGACCAGATGTGATTTAAATCAGGCAGTGAGGAAGTGCTTCACAGACCAGACCAGATGTGATTTAAATCAGGCAGTGAGGAAGTGCTCCACAGACCAGATGTGATTTGAATTAGGCAGCCAGGAAGTGCTTCAGACCAGACCAGATGTGATTTAAATCAGGCAGTGAGGAAGTGATCCACAGATCAGATGTGATTTGAATTAGGCAGCCAGGAAGTGCTTCACAGACCAGATGTGATTTGAATTAGGCAGCCAGGAAGTGCATCACAGACCAGACCAGATGTGATTTGAATTAGGCAGCCTGGAAGTGCTTCACAGACCAGACCAGATGTGATTTGAATTAGGCAGCCTGGAAGTGCTTCACAGACCAGACCAGACCAGATGTGATTTGAATTAGGCAGCCTGGAAGTGCTTCACAGACCAGATTTGATTTGAATTAGGCAGCCTGGAAGTGCTTCACAGACCAGATCTGATTTGAATTGGGCAGCCAGGAAGTGATCCACAGACCAGATGTGATGTGAATTAGGCAGCCAGGAAGTGATCCACAGACCATATATAATTTGAATTTATTAATAAACTTGTACAATGTGTTGGTAAAAATAGGTTTACAGAAATTTGCCAAAGGTACAGCCTAAAATAAAATGCAGGCCCCCCACATAACCCCAACCCACCCACCCTCCCCGGTGGGTTCTCAGGACATCCCCAGGTTGTTGTTTTTTTGTTTCAGAAAATAATAGATATTTATTCCCTTAGTTTTTGTTATTCCTATTTACTCATTTGTCTTTTCAAGGGTTACATATTGAAATTATCTTAGTGGTCTCCCCGTGGAATTTCTTAAGTTCAAGTCAATGCTGGTAGCTTGTTTTAGCCACTTTTTTGGGGGAGACTAAACATTGAATGCTACCTTGAATACTTGATACATTCATTCAATAAGATATTTCAACCATGATCGAATTCAAATTATTTTTACAAGTTTATGAACATATTCGGTAAAGCTTATCTCAACTGAATGTCAAATAAACTGGGAAAATTTAGATTTTTATGTGTGTTGTTTATGCTATGTTTAAAGAGGTTACATTCATATCTGCAATTTATCTCTAAATACATGTCCGTTTGACTCGTAGCTTTCAAACTTGCTGGTTAGACATATCATTGTTGTACAAAGGCACCATGTTTTGCAAAAAAATAGAGTAGATAATAATTCACTTTCAGTAGACTTTTGATGCAAATGTCTTTCGGTGTTCATACTTGAAAATTCCTGCATTGGTAATTTGTCCAATTTACTTGACATGTATATTATCATGATAGTATTGAACAGGTAGTCTCATAACTGATACAGTGTCCAAACACAAATTTCATTGTAGTAAATTTGGAATTTTTATAGGCTTTGAATGTCATTAATTATTTTTTAACACTTGGTCCAGGCCAACTGAATGCCAAAATTGAACTTTTCCAAGTCTTTGACTTTAAGCCAATTTGAATTTTTTGGAATTGTCCATCAGTTGTTGAAATACCACAATCAGATTAGATACTAAGTGACATGAGAGCATTTTCAATGAAGGATTTGTGAATAAATTAAATCTTGCAAACATTTTAGAATTTAATATATTATTTACAAATCTATTGCTGTGGTTACTGTTTAAATCTGTGACTTTTAAACAAACTAATATTTTCCTTTTCTTTAATGTGGATGTATAAGTGATGTTTTATATGTATATTAGATTGAAGTTAATAAAGAATTTGTACAAAGAATGCCTTTAAAGCAACATTCCTTGTCCCTCTTCTTGCCATTTTTGTCTGTTAGTTTGTACGTAAAATTTGATCATATTGAGATAAAAAAATGTCATGAACAGACATTCACCATCAAACAGTCTCCCACACAATTTTTATAGGATTTTGTGTCATATTTGGTATAACACCCTGGCATGAGTAGATGTTCTTTGGCAATAATGACCACACCCTCCTAAAATTACATGTACTTGCTCTGAAAACATAGCTTCTACGATTGTTTAACAATTAACAGATGTTGTTCAATGTACAATGAATACATTTTAAATAATAAACCTTACTGTGTTAATAACAAATTGTATTTGACACATGAACATGATTCTGATGCCCAGTGATGATTTTGAAACAAACCCAGGTCCTGGTAATACACTAAGACCTGAATTAACAAAGAAGTCGTGTATATCAAGGTTCACTCAGAATAATGAATGCAGTTTCTTGAGCTATTAAACATGTATGGCAAATACTTTTGTTGCACTTGTGTACTCTGAGATTCTGAACATGGGTCAGTGGAAGTTTTTAGTTGTCAGTACAAAACTAGATTATGGGAATTCACTATAATGAGTTGTACCCACATAGATTACATATTCATTCACCTGTTTGCAGATGTTCCTTGTACTACTTTATAATCAAATAACTGGGACTGTGACATTCATGTCTTGTTCAATTTCTATTTCACGCAAAAGAACTCAATTTGTTTTATTCATACCACCAATGCTTGTCCACCGACATCATTGTCAATTCATAATAACCAACTTCGGTTTTAATTAAAAAAAAATCTCCCATATAAAAAGTGCATATTTTCCTAAATATTGTCAATCTTCTCAATATTTAAATGACTAGATGCAGTGGAAAAAAAAGTTGTAAATTTCATAACATCCAATACTGTATGATGGATGAGAACGTGTTCCATATTGTTTGATACCATGCAAATGAATTGTGATTTATCATGAACTAACAATGTAGCTCAGAGTGAAATGTGCTCAGATATAAACAGAGTTCTCATTTAGTGTCAGAAAACTAAAATTCAGTCTTTAAATGCATCTAAACATAACTTTTTGTATTGAAATGCATAATCATTGTGAATGAATATATGCAATTTGCATTATGTATGTTATAGTTTACTCCATCACCTACCAGAAAGTCTGTGGAAATAATAAATTCCATTTATTACTTGTTAGGCTTAACTACAGAACATAGCCCGAACAGAAACAATGGGTTCCACAGACTTTCTGGTAGGTATGATTAGGTAAACAAACTAGTTTGTAAAACCCTAATAGTTTACTACACCACCTACCAGAAAGTCAGTGGAAATAATAAATCCCATTTATTACTCGTTAGGCAGAGTAACACTCAACAATTCTAATGCATCAAAACAGTGTATTGGTGTTCGATAGCGCCAGTCGAAACCTGCAGCATCAAGCAGGCTGGTTTCTGCTGAAGACACTATCGTGCTAACACACATGGGGCCCCTTGGTTGTGCGGGCTGAGCCAACGAACACTGTCTGACCCGTCACCACTGGACCCAACCTGTAGAGACCCTTCTCCAGCGATTGGAGGTCTCTCAGGTACTAGTTAATGAAGACATTCTGAGATCTCCAGAACCCTGCTCGGCGCACCCAGACATCGCTCGAGTGAAGCCCCAGACATCAAAGTCAATGAGTTGGCTACTCCGCGCACTTAGTGTGCCTTCACCTGGTGATGTTCCAAACGAGCCGATGAAGAAGCAGTTAATTTATAGGCTTCCACGACCGTAACAACAATCCAATCCAAATGATATTTGATGTAGGGTGGCTCTGTTTGCCCCACCCATAACAGACAAACATGCACTTGTCACTGCCCCTAGACACCTTGGTGGGGTCGCAGTACCAGCTCGGACTTGACATAGAATCTGTTCTGACATTCCTCCTTGCCCACTAAGTGAGGCGTGGGATGACGATCGGCTCAGAGTCACGCCCTGGGATTGATACTTGGCAAGAAAGCCCAACCCTGTCTTCAAAATAACTGTGAGTCCATAAAGGAGGAACGTCCATCACTAAAGGACAGCAGATTCTGATAAAACTGAGAATAAAACTGACGGATATCCATGAATCGTCGATATAGATTTCCCTTGATTAAACAAATATAGGAAAAATTCGGCTACCTCGCTAATAGAATGACTGATCAATCTCTTCCGTCACACCAATCAATGTACAGTCTCCGTCTGGATTCGTACAAACGTCTGGTGCCGTCCGACTGTGACAAAGCAAGGAACTTGGACAACTCTGCAGAAAAGACTAGCGCTTGCACAAGTTAATGACAGCCTCCACACGTGAAGATAGAATAGTGCGGGGCTCATAGGTAGAGTGCCGTCTGGCTGGGACAACAGATGAAGTAGATCCAGCAAC